TCGTCTCACTCACTCGCCGGGCCTGCGCTCTGGGTCTGTTCAGGATCCCGCGGCCTGGGTCGTCTAGGTCTTTCTTAACAGTTGAGTTTTTATTTGAAAAAAAAAAAATTAAGTTGGAAGCTTCTATTATAATTTAAAAGTAAAGTTCTTCAAAGTGTTCAAAGTTCTTCAACATGGTAGGACAAGAAGCAATCAGAAGCCCTTCGGGAAGGTCATTGACCCCCCTGCCATCAAATTCTTAAGAGAATGAAAATTTATTTCCAGGGAAATTATTAGATTGATGTTTGAGCTTTGAAGTTATTTTTCCTTAATCTGTCATTGGCACGTACTGTTGTTTTTGTATTTTATCTCTCTGACTTACACTGCCGTCCCAGGTTCTTAACAGATTTCTAAATGTTCATCTTCCAAATCTGTATGCTTTGTATAACAGATTATTTTTGGTCTCTCTGTCTTTTGACTTTTGTTAATGTTTACTAACACAATCACAAATTAACATGCTTTTTCTATGTGTGCTCTCAGTTTACTAAAAATCATCCTCTTAAGTGTTCTAAGCTATTTTAAGATTTTTTCAATAATGGTCTTGTAATCCAAAATATGCTTTCAGCTAACACCTCCCGTTCTGATATACAACCTGTACTTAATTTCCCTTGCATGTTTTTGAAATCTGAACAGCATACCGTTGTTGCTACACTTCACCAATCCTTACAGTATTACTAGAAATAAATTAGCAGGTAAGAGAAACGTGGCTCCGACAATCCCGGGTAGCACCAGTGTGCCTGCCCGGCAGGAGCCCCCCCCCCCCCCCCTTTCCGGGCTCAAACAGACGCAGTTCCAGATGTGTGCAGCAGAGGGAGCTAAGTTTCGCTCTGCCACAGTATTAAGTTTACTGAAATTCCGTTTGGTTTACAGACAGGAACCCTAACACCCATTTTTCTTGGTAGGCAAGTCAGGTTTTGTTTTGGGTTTTTTTTTTTTAATTTAAGTTGAATTTGGGAAACACATGGGGAGTCATTCAGCATCACAAATTTCCATTTAGGTAATACTATTTTGCTTTTTATTTCTGCATTTATTTGGTCATGTAAATGTGCTTAGAACTAATAAAAATACGCAGTTGGTGAAAATTAACGCATGCCTTGCCAGCCCAGTGTGGAATGTGAGCACGTGCCGTGGGGCTGCAATTCTTTCACCCTTTCTGCTCTGTCGTCTGCGTGCTGGTTCTGTTTAGAGCATCGCCCACTCTTTTCCCCATAGATTGGCCAAAATGGGAAAGATTGGATTCCGCTCTCTTCCACGAAGAGCTAATGGGACTGGCTAAGATCAAAGGCCGAGGCTTTTGCCATCTGTAATCAGGTAAGCATCCAACAGAAATCACTGTCGTTCTGTGCATGCCCCTTTAACGTACTCAGTTGGTATACGTATTACGAATGTGGCCTTTTATTAGATGTTGCGTTTGCAACACTGTATTTATTCAATGGATTTAAATGCACCTGTGATAACTAATTTGAATTCTGTAATTTATTAAGATAAAAAGGTTTTAGCCATAAAAAAATTTCAGCTGGTCTTAGAAAAGTGTAATATTTGAAGTCAATGCAGTTCTTCATTGCTCAGTATGTACATCCAAAGATAATAATCCATCTGTGCTTCCAGAGTGAGGATGACCAATGGGAACAGAATCGAATGTTTGTGAATTGTCTTATGGTGCACTCTTAATACATTTTTTTCCAGTAACATAGAAGTAATTTTTTCAGTTAGGATTGTCCACCTTACAGTTGGACCCTGTAACACAAGGGCAGTCATGACCAGTCTTTGAGGTATTTCCAACTGTTTTTATACTCAAGGATTTCAATATTTTGCATCCCATTTTTCTTCTGCCATTGAAAACTGATCCTCTAACTAGGTGTATGAAAGCATCACACTAGGAAGTCAAATAATGGAAAATCAGGTTTTTCTCCTGCCCATACAGAATGCTTTGTAACAGCGTTCAGCAGCAACAGCGGCTGTGTTGCATGAGGAAGGCAGAGAAGCCGTCTCCCGAACAAGACTATGACAGGGCAAAGAACAAGGACTTGCCCTTTTTTTCAAAGACCAAAGGACAGTGTCAGTTGCGTTTTAGAAATGTCACTGTTAATCTGCACAGAGGACTTTCGAACAGGTCTCACAGCATGAGGGCCCTGCCCAGATCTGCCTCATCACGAAAGCACTTGACCAGCCTGACCTGCGTGCCTTACTGTTCTAACCAAATCGGGGGTCATGGCTGTATTTAGTCTGCACGGGGACAGCCTCTGCATTAAAATACAAAAAGACATATTATAATCTACACCTAATTTAAAAAATATATAAGTATTTCAAGCTTCTGTGAAAGTAAAACAAGCCTGTACGGATGCGTGCGCCTCACCTGCGAGGGTCCCATCAGCTCAGTGCCACAACAAAAGCGAAGGGGAGGCTGGCTTCCAATTTTTAAGTATATAATAGGATGAAATTCTAGTCAGTAATTGCTAAGTCACTTAACCACATTTAACTCTTCAGTTTAAAGATCGGATCTATTAAAAAGGAGGTTACTCTTTCTGCGTCCTTTGAAAGTACCCTTCTAAATCACCTTAAGGAAATTTTAAAGAACCATTTAACTTGTAGTGGCTTGGGATTTTGGAGAAATTTGTTTTCTTAATCTAAGAAAGAGTTGATAATATTTACTAGGTTTTATCCTTATAGGCTTCAATTCAGCTTGATTACTTGTTTTCATTTAAAAAGACATACTCCCCTGTGCAGGGCACGCCCGCTCTCCCGCACAGCGCCAGTAGGTCTGCCGCACCTGCTCCCACCCTGAGCACCCTGGGGGGACGCGCTCTTGCACGGGCACCGTGCAGTCCCCGAAGCCCCAGCAGAGCTGCTACACCGGGCACGGCTGGGTCCAGGCCCAGCCCTGGGGTGCCAGCTCACCTGCTGAGCTCAGGTACCCAGTGAGCGCGGTCGCTCCCCAAGACGCACAGGTTGTTGAGGAACAGTGAGCACACCAGTCCCCAAGCGGCCTCCGAGGCCTCCCCTGCTCGAGCACGTGTGCCCCTCGGAGAAGGGGCTGCAGGTGGAAAGAGCTCTTCCAGGCCTCGCGGACCTGGGCTGTGAAGCCCTTCTGTTGTGGGCTCCGGGATGCCGTTGTTTATCAGTCTCTTCCTGTGACAGAGTGTGACTAGAGATGACATGTACACATTAAAATGATTTTCCTGAAACATTTTTATATTTTTAGTCAGATTTATGTTCCTCTCTAATCCCTCGTGAAAGCTGAACTTACAGTGCCACTCTTGCAGTCATGTTTGTCGCCTCCTGAGAGTCCCCAGCCATTACTGCTGTGCCTGAGTGCCTTTGTCACGCGGACCTTCAGGGTATGTGCGAGCTGTTCATTCTGAGCAATGCGGTATGCGCGTTTTGGCAAATAATATCGAGACCTGCAGATATTACATTAGACCAGCTGAATCCAGTTTATACTTTGTTTTTTAATTCAAAAGCATCACATAGCAAATTAAAAAATTTTTTAATTAAGTTTAGTTACAAACTAGTTGTTTCTCATTTTTTTTTCCAGTCCCTTTTTGCTTTCTTTTCCGACCACATGAAACTTGAGAAGCCACCTAAAGCTATATCATTTAGTGGAGTTGGGCAGTTCCCAAGTGTCCAGCAAGAAGGCCTGCTTTAGGCTGCGATGGCCACTGTCATTCCTGGTGATTTGTCAGAAGTGAGAGATACCCAGAAAGTCCCTGCAGGGAGACGTAAGCGTGGCGAAGCCAAACCAAGAAAAAGCTTCCCTTGCCAACTGTGTGACAAGGCCTTTAACAGTGTTGAGAAATTAAAGGTTCACTCCTACTCTCACACAGGAGAGAGGCCCTACCAGTGCACACAGCAGGACTGCACCAAGGCCTTTGTTTCTAAGTACAAGTTACAGAGGTATTCAACTCTCTTGTCTTTCAGATTATACTTGCTCTTATGTCGGCCGTTTGAAGCCATTGTAACGTATGTATTTGTAGACACATTTTCAGCTGCTGTGCAGAGAGGAAATGTTGAGTAGATTAGACTTGGCTAGTGTGTCGTGTTCTAGTCACATACTTCTGTGTGTTAGTGTCTTGCGATTTTTTAATGAAATGCTAATGACAGTACAATTTTCATTTGTAAAAAGAAATTACAACAAGAAAAGGGTATTTCCGTGAGTATGTTCCGTCTTGCTCATTTGCTTCTGTAATGATAGCTGAGAGTCAGCGAAGCTCAAGTGGCATGAAATGGCTCAAGTTGTGTAGCGTGAGCTTAGTGAGCACCTTGGGTGCGTTTTCAGCGAGGCGGTGTCCACGAGTGGGCGAGTTCTCTGGTAGCCTGTTAGCTAGCTGCCCATTTTGGAAGTGTGTAGTGCCGGCTGCGGTGCGGCAGTTACTTACGGAGTGTATCTGTGTTTCAAGGCACATGGCTACTCACTCTCCGGAGAAGACCCACAAGTGTAATTACTGTGAGAAAATGTTTCACCGGAAAGACCACCTGAAGAATCACCTGCACACGCACGACCCCAACAAAGAGACGTTCAAGTGTGAGGAGTGCGGCAAGAGCTACAACACTAAGCTCGGGTTCAAGCGGCACTTGGCCTTGCACGCGGCCACCAGCGGCGACCTGACCTGCAAGGTGTGCCTGCAGGCCTTCGAGAGCACGGGCGTGCTGCTGGAGCACCTCAAGTCGCACGCGGGCAAGTCGTCGGGCGGCGTCAAGGAGAAGAAGCACCAGTGCGAACACTGCGAGCGCAGGTTCTACACGCGCAAGGACGTGCGCAGGCACATGGTGGTGCACACGGGCAGGAAGGACTTCCTCTGCCAGTACTGCGCGCAGAGGTTCGGGCGCAAGGACCACCTGACGCGCCACATGAAGAAGAGCCACAGCCAGGAGCTCCTGAAGGTCAAGACGGAGCCGGTGGACTTCCTGGACCCGTTCACCTGCAGCGTGTCGGTGCCCGTGAAGGACGAGCTCCTGCCCGTGATGTCCCTGCCCTCCAGCGAGCTGCTGGCCAAGCCATTCGCGAACGCGCTGCAGCTGAACCTGTACAACTCGCCCTTCCAGTCGGTGCCGAGCTCGGGGTCGGCACACCAGATGATCACAACCCTACCTTTGGGGGTGCCGTGCCCGCTGGACGTGGAGGCCGTGCACCCCTCGCACCACCTCTCCTTCAAGTACCCCTTCAGCTCTACCTCATATGCCATCTCTATTCCTGAAAAGGAACCGCCGCTGAAGGGGGAGATCGAGAGCTACCTGATGGAGCTGCAGGGCGGCATCCCCTCGTCGTCGCAGGACTCGCAGGCGTCGTCCTCCAAGCTCGGGCTGGATCCGCAGAGCGGGTCCCTGGACGAAGGTGCGGGCGACCTGTCCCTGTCCAAAAGCTCCGTCGCGCTCAGCGACCCCCTCAGCACGCCAGCGCTGGATTTCTCTCAGCTGTTCAACTTCATCCCGCTGAACGGCCCCGCCTACAGCCCGCTGTCGGTGGGCGGCCGCGGCGTGAGCTACTCCCCGGATGAAGCGCACCCCTCGGGCCCGCAGCTGCCCGCGCAGCCGCAGGAGCCCCCCGAGCCCGCGGGCGCCGCAGGGCTTGGGCCTCTGCACTCGCTGTCCGCAGCCTTCACCGGCAGCCTGAGCACAAGTACCACCCTGCCGCGCTTCCACCAGGCGTTTCAGTAGGGCCCGCCGCGGGTGTGCGGCCGGGTGGCCCGGGCCCTGCCTTAGAGACCGGTTTCTTTTAGTGCCTACTTTAAGACAGTATGAAAGTTTCTGCTTTTGTATAATACCAGTTTTCATTAAGCCAGTATAAAATAGAAACTAGCTTTTGAAAAGAGCTTTGGAACCACCCATGTTATGTTTACCGGGGTATTCTGTCCTGATTCACTGCCAATTGTCATAGTCAGAAGTTTTATTTCCTATAGGAAAGCCATTATTGTTAATAAAATTGTACAAGTCCCGTGTTCAAACTACTTTTAGATCTTAAAATTTTCGTTTTTGTCCAGTAACAGTGGCTCTACCTTTTAACATTTGGCTCCTTAAAAGCTTTTTGCAACACAGTGTAAATTTTATAATGTCTATCTGAATAACTCAAGAGTTTTAAAAATTTTACCAGCCACAAGTGAATTGATAATCAGATGTTTTAAATGAATGAATCCTGTTTGGAAAGATAGCAAATGTTTCCTAGATATTCCATAACCCTAGGTCAGTGTATTTTGAAGATTTGCTCTTGTCTTGGAAAATAGTTCCTAAACTATGGAAGTGTGAGGGAAACCAAACCAGAACACAAGGCGTGGTGTCTAGCCCAAGGCCACTCCTGCTGCGCCCTGAAGGGCGCCCTGAGGCCCTGGCATACGGCCTCACTGGGCACTGTCTGTCCACCTAGCGGCACTGACAGCTCATGTGGCGTGGGCGCTTGGGAGGGTCCATGGGCAACGCTGCAGCCCTTTCTGCCTTCACAGCCTGGCGGTGGCCCACGGGCACCAGCGTTTTGTTTTGTTTTGTTTTTTGCATTATTGGTCCACAGCCCAGAATCTAGGGTTGTTACAGAACTGTGGACAGCTGTGTGCCATCTCAGAGTGGACGGGCTCGCCCTCCAGGGTGTGATGAGCTGACCGGAGTAGAGGTAAAGCACATGCCCAGCCTCGGAACTCACTCGTGCAGGGAACCGGCCTGCCGCTGCCCAGGCTGCGAACGAGACTCTTGGGACCAGCCGGACAGCGCCACTTCCTGCTGCTCCACTTTTCTGTAGGAGGCAAAAGCAGAAAACGAAAACAGCATTCTTGCCCCGTGGTAGTTTCCTTAGTGAATGTCAATCCATTTTCCCCCTGCCCTTTTCAGATGAAGTTAAAACAATTTGAGGAATTACCTCAAAGTTTTAAGTAAAAAATATATACAGTAAAACCCCACTTTTACACATCTCTGGAAGATGGAAAAATGTTGCAAAGAGGTCGAATTTGTCAAGGGGAGCAGAGCAGAGCAAGCTGTTGTCTTTTTTAAGTGAAGACAATAGACAGTCGGGAATAGTGTTTCACTGAATAAAACAGTTACGGGCCTTCTTCACTTCAGGCAACCACCACAGTCTTCTCAAAGATCCAGTAATAGTTTTCAAAGGGTCATTTGGGACATCAACCTGAGAAACATATCTAGTAAGCACGAGTTAACACCTTATTTGGGGCCCTCGGCCTTTGGGGCGGGGGCGGGGGAGGGGTTATAGAAGAGTATATATCTCTTTAAAAAAAAAATTCTAAGCACTCATTGGCCCTAGCAGGAGCAGCCTCCCCTTCTGTAGGGCCAGCTGCCACTGCAGATTGCAATGTTTACCAAGAGTTTCTAAAAATGAGTGCAGATTACTGAGTATAATACATTATTTAAAATATTTGGGAGTAGTATAATTTGTGGAGAAATGTAAATTGTAATAATGTAAATGGGGTTTCACTATATATATTATATATATATATATATATATATATATATACACACACATATCGCACTTAATAGAATCAAAGTTGCTCTCTGAGGGAGCTCTGGCTCCTGATATTTTATCATGCTCCTATTTTTTTAATCCAAGGAGCAGTAGTTTTTATACCTATGTATTTAAATTTTATTATGAGAAATTACATTTTATTAAAGTGTGTTCCAAAGGCATTAAAATTATATATGTTAATAAGGAGATGCATTTTTAAATCTCTTGAGCTGCTCCTAAGCTTTGGGTTAGGAGAATCAATACCTGCTCCAAAAGTAGGCTCGTTGCTCTGCTCCGCTGCCGCTTCTTTTCGTTTCTGTGAAACAGATTGCTTACGTAAACCTGAGTGAGTGAGTGGTCAGCGTTGCGTAGTGCTCTGATCGCCACTAAGAAGGAAAGAAATCTGGAGAGAGAGTGGGGGTGTGGCGAAAGCTGCTCTTAAGCAGCGACCACCGAGGGCCAGTGTGGAAGCGCCGCTTTACCCGTCTGAAACGTGCCTGCCCCGAGACGTTGGCCTTCCTGGGCTGTATTCCACTGCTAATAAAACAAAGAGGACTGTCGCGGTTGATAGCATACGGTCTTTTGGAGATGGGGGTGGCCGCGTGCGCCTCTCCGCACAGGCGTGGAGCGCGCCTTCCGGGGCATCTGCGCCAAAGTCGGGCTTGCGGGGTCTTAGTTCTCCTGCGTGCAGCATCTGGCCTGTTGCCACCCCCAGACTTGAGGCGCCGCTCTGCACGCGAGTCCAGCTAGCACCTTCATTGTATTTTTCAGTGGACTGCGGTGGTCACTAAACCCGGTGTGATAGCGTTTCTGTTAGAGGTGCGGCAGACCTGTCTAATTGCAGTGTTCTCACGGGGTGTAACACGGAATTGGCTCTTTTTTCCCTAGAAAAATATTCTTGATTTGAATGAAAGGAAGTTTTCATTCTTTAGTGGCCAGAGTTATCCTCTTTGAAGTTCTGGTAGTGCCTTAGCTTGGTTTATAAAAAGGGATTGACAATAAGTAGAAATATTTTAGTGTAGAATTTGGACCTCAGACAAGACATTGACCGTCATTCAGTTTGGCTTCCTGCCCCGTCCGCAGTCTAGGTCACCAGACGGCGGTGTGGCTGTGGCGAGGCCTCGGCACCGCCGGCAGCAGTGCGCGCTGGCCGGCTGGCCGGCAGCACGGGGCTCTTGGCCACGCAGCACTTTCGTTCTGAAGCCCTGTCACCAAGTTCAGTTTACACTTCAGTCGTTCTGGCTGGTCACACAGCACTCACCTTCGTGCAAGTTTTTCATTTCGAGTAGAGCGTCTTTCAAGCCGTGTATTTTTGCCTGTTTGTTGCTTGTGCTTTCTTTTCCTTAGTCATTAATGGAATATAGTGATACATCGTGTTCAATTGGACAGTAGCGGTTTATAAAAACCACGTACTGACAGACATGAGCCGGAGCTGATTGCTTTATTAAGCTAATAATGAATGTTACAGAGAACATATTTTCAGGATCATCCATCTAGTGAGCAATACTCATATTTTAGGCCAATATATATATTTTTAAAAATAGAGCTTGGTCAACCTCTATATTACACATATTACAAGATATAGCACTTTCAAAATGAATCGAAGCCTTTACAGAGACTTTGTTATAGGTTATGCCTTTTATTTTAAGACTTATTATAATGTCTCAAGTGCCATTAGATGATGCATATGTAGGCCTTTGATATATAATGCTTTGTGTACAAGAACGGTAGGTGGTATTTTAAGCAGGTACATTTTACAGTGTTTTCTTATCAATTTGCTATATTGCACAAAATCAGTGTGTGTCTTTTCATACAGTTTTACAATGGTTTATTTTTTTACAAGGTTTACGTGTCTCAAAGCACACTGTCTTCCCAGTACATAAGTTAAGAAATACCAGTTCACCCAAGTTGCTTCTAGCCTACTGAGGTCCGTGTGACACTGGAGGAGACCTCTGCGACATCGAGCATTCGGCGTTAGCAGTGGCACAGTGCTCTCTGAGAAACGAGCACCTGAGTGAGTTTGTCTTGTTTTTCTCCCTCTGTCAGCCACGGCTGTGACACAGATAGTCTGTTTTGATTACAGAGCTCTGAATCGTGTTGTGCATTTTCACACCAAAGGCCCACAGAGCGCTCCTTTAGGGTCATCTCAAACAGCATAGCCTAGTTAGTGGCACCTGCTGCTCACCGCTAGGCCTTTCCACAGCACTGTGGCTCGTGCGGGTGGGACAGTTACCGAGCGAGCTGTAGAAATGACAGAGCTACTGCTAATGTCTGGAACACTGTCGCATAAGCTTCGGTGGGACAAACGAACCAGAAGGAATGTCTGTCTCCTCAGAATGCTCCTTTAGGGTCACACTGGGTCAGGCTGCTAATGTAGCATGGGACGCAACTCTTCATGGTGCTATGAACTCCTGTCTCGTTCAGTTGGATTTTTTATCCATAGGAAAAGGACTATATTAGGTGTAAAGGTGTACAATATATTTTTATACTGTGACTTAATATGTCAGTAACAAACTTTCACACCACCACAGCATGTTCGTGTACACTTGCAAAAGGAGATCTCGGACGTGCAGAAGTTACAGAACAAACCCAGCTTCTGCCCACAAGGTGACTGCAGCTCAGAATGGAACGTGGGCTTAGTAAATAGAGTGTGGAGTGAAGAACATGCTGTAAATTACTAACAGCCCTTTGAATTTAACAGAAACTGGGAGTCCATTAGGAAATGGATTGATCATGTCTGACCATAAGCTGGACTGCTGAAATTGTATTTTTAGCTAATGAAAAGGTGTTTGGACTAGTACTCTAAAAATATTATAATGATTTATAATAGAAAAGAAAAAAAAGACCTGCATTCCAGACTGAATTTTGTATATTTTTATTGCATTTAAAATTGCTATTCTGTGATATCGGGAAATCAAGTGGCTTATCATGTATATCATGTACTTAAAAATGTATCCACAAACTACTGTTGTATTTGTATAAAATATAGATAAAGATCCTATTTTTGTGTGTGTGTATAAGCTCTGTAAAATAGCAATCACATTTTGAAGCTGCAGCGGTACTACATTTTAAACATTCACATCCGAAAAAGCAGGCTATTTATTGTCCAGGTAACCAGATTTAAACTATTAATTTGCTGCTTATTAAACAATAATAGCATTGCAGCTTCTTGTGGCCTTCAGTGTTATGTTTGCTGTAAGAAAGAGATGTAAATTCCACAAAATGCCTGAATAAAATTATAGAATGACTTCAGATAATGCAGATCTTACTGAAATTTTCATAGGTAATGCTTTGTGACATTTTTTCATTCTACTTTTTTCATCTGATAAACATAAGATTCTTACTGCTGGATCTAAGATAGTTCTCTGTTCAAAGGTTCTAGGCAGTATCATTTGTTTTAAAACTTTTGTCTCTTTAGAAAAAGGACAAGCATTGTAAATTTTTTACAAGTCAAAGCACCAAAATTAATCCTCCCCGAGTGAAATTGAGAAAGTTTGTTTCCATTGAGAGTTACAATGGGTGGTTAGGGGCTGGGGATATAGCTCAGTGGCATAGGTACCTGCCTAAGTGCAAGGTCCTGAGTTTGATCCCTGATACCAACCCCCCCCCAAAAAAAAAAACTTACTATGTAGCCTGCAGTGGGCAGTTAGCATTCCTTTAAAACTTACTGTCTGCTAATACTGTAAATTATCCTTTAAACTAGCCAAAGTTCCATTCAGATTGTTCACCTAAAATTTTGCTTAAAAAAGCCCTCTCCGTGGATGTGCACCGAAGGTCATTGCATTGTCTTGGTTACAAGCCGTCCATGGAGTGGCCGATAACGCATCACCCAAGCGAGGAGCAGCCTAAAACTTCCGCTAGTGCCCATCAAGCATTGGCTGTGGAAATGCCGTGAACTGCACAGTGCCCCCGCCATACTCAGAAGAGATGCTTTCTACTGTCAGAGAGTAAAGGGTGTATTTTGTCACTATTCGTAGTTCTTCTTTTCACTTAATTCCAGTAAATTTAGAAGTATTTGCATGTTAATTCATAGAATTAACACTAAATACTTTTTTTAACTTAAACCCACTCATGGGGCCAGTGAGGTAGCTCGGTGGATGAAAGTGCCTGCTTAGACAAGCCTGGGCAGGGCAGGGCAGGGCAGGGGCCGCGGTTCCATCCCCAACACCTCGTGCCACGCCAGCCCCCCGTACAGCGGGCTGAGCCAGCCCCAGAGCCCTGGCGTGGTGGCGCACGCCTGGAATCCCAGCGCTGGGGAGGCTGAAAGCAGCATCACTGTGAGTGCAAGCTGCCTAGGGAGACCCTGCAACACCCAAATACATTTGAAAAAAAGAAAAGAAATCCACTCATGTGAACTCCAGGAACAGTCTGCAAATAAAAATGCTTTTGCTTTTTGTAGTACTCGAACAGAACATTCTGAAAAAATATGGGATTAATTTATTTAATGTGTAAGATTATTTAAGATATAATCTCCTTTATGGAAAATTAATTTAAAATATAGTCTGTGTATTGCATCATAAGCCCAGTGGGGACTAAGCAGCTTTCTCAGGAAGTTTTAAATGAAAAGTTCATGTTGCTAGTTCGCCAACAAGGGGAAAACCCAGTCTGCCTAGAGACAGCTTGCGTTTTAGGTCATTTTTCATGGACTGAACACTTGCACAACAAACACTTCTTGGGCTGGGGAGATGGTTCAGCGGTGTAAGCACCTGCCCGGCAAGCAAAAGAGCCCGGGTTCAACCCCCAGCGCCGCGTGCCATGCGGGCCCCGGAGCCCTGGGCGCACGGAGCCGGTGCTGAGAGCGGGCGCGGTGGCTCACGCCTTAATCCCAGGGCTGGGGAGTCTGAGACAGGCGGATCACTACAGGTCCGAGCTACACAGCGAGACCCTGTACCAAGTAAAGAAATATATAAATGAATTTTTTTAAAAACACTTCTTAATTAAAAGTGCGCCTCTTTGCGCGCCGCTTTGCGCTGACCTCTCCAGTGCGGAGGCCGGCAGGAGAGGTTCTTCCTGGTCAGCCCAGCGCAGCGGCCCGCGGGGGGCCAGCAGCCTGCCGGTTCCCCTTTTCCGTATACCCAAAACGGTCGAGTACGAGCAATTTCAGTACAAACAACAAAACCAGAAATTCCTAAATTCAGCCGCATTCTGTTCCATGAAGTAGTCGTTGCTCGAGTTTACATTCTGAAGCTGTTGTCTGAGCAAGCGCAGTGGCTTAGCCCGTCAGCTTGGCTGGGCCTCGTACCGGGCCTTGGGTCAGACTTGACTTGGATGTAGCCGTGAAAGCACTTTTAATGTGACTGACACGTAAGTCAGCGCACGAAGCAGAGCCCATTACCCTTACAGAAAAGGCTGGAGCCCCACGCGGAAAAGCACGCTGCACCGCACTGCCTCAGCCGGGCAGCAGAGTCAGCCGCCGTCTCCTGCTGCGGGCTGCATCTGCCCCCCCAGTCACAGCCACCCCGAGGTCTCTGTGTGCACACAGCCTTCTGGCTCTGTCCTGCGCACTTGTTTCAGCGGTCATTCCCTAGGGCAGCTGGTTTTACCTTGAAGTGGTAAACGCTTCTCTCACGTTCCTGTAGCACAGAGCACGTACATGTACAGCTTCTGTTTCCTTCAGACAAGCAATAGAGAAGATCACCTTGCTTGGGGGTGACATCCCTGATGGGACTCTCAGGGTCACCTTTTCTAGGCTGATCATCTTTGGCTGTAGATGAAATGGTTTTCTCCCAATAAAAAAAAATTTTTTTTAGAGTCAGGATATGGTAGTACATGCCTGTAATCCCAGCACTGGGGAGGCTGAAAACAGAAGGGTCACCATGAGTCCGATCTGCCTAATGAGACCCTGTGCCAATACACGAATGAAAAAAGAGGAAAAGAAATTTTAATGGAAGCAGCTAACCTGGCTTTACTGCACAGATGCCTCTTTGAAAGCCAGTCTATTATAAATGCACAAATGCAAATTCTGTGAATTGCATCTTTTTGAAAACAGGCAGATTATCCACTAAGAGTAACACAGCCAGAGCCCTGTGGTTCTGAGGGGAGCATAAAAGCTGCTCATGTGAGATACACGTGCCTCTGGTGGCAATCGGGTTTTTGAAAAGGTTCCATCTGTGGGGTACCCCATTTGTCATCAGACAGCTTTGGTCACTTTTTAGTCTTCTTTCTGGGTGTTGCCTGTGGGGTCCTGCAAACTGCTGTTTCCCAAAGTAGCTAATTGATCTGTAAGTGTTGCTCACACCCCATGACGCTTCCTAAGCAGGTTTGTGTAACCCGATTTTCATGCCCTGGGAATGTTTGTTGTGTAAGCCGGTTCATTACTCTCAGCCAGGGTGCCCCACTTAAAAACTTTAAGGTATGTCCGCCTCTCTCACCCTCAAAATGAGTGGTGCTCAGTGACTACAACGAACGCAAAACCGAGAAGTGTCCTGAAGATCCTTTGATTTGAAGTTAGGAAAATGGGTTCCCGGTCACAGTTTTCTAAGTCAAATTACCTTTTGCTGGGATGAAACACTACTTGCTATAATGTTTTCTGATTGAATTCTTTCACATTTTTCCATGCACATTCCCAGGGACCAGCCATGAGAGCCTCAAGCTGGTGATTTAGGGACCCTGGAAATTCCCTCCACTGTTGGCAGCGAATGCCCGTCTCCGCTTTTGTGCCTCATATGGAGCCCTCCCCTGGTCCCTGAGATGGGCTGGATGGTGTCCATGCGCTTTGTGTGTCCAGACTGGCCCCATTATCTGTCCTTAGCTCGTTTCCTTTTCTCCTCTGGCCAGAATGCCCACGATGAAATCTTACCATCCTCCGGCCTTTTCTGAATGGTCTCTCTTTCGTAAAGCAGTGTCTGGTCTCACCCACTGAATGTACTAAATGTCCCTCCTAACATAGTTCATTAGAGCTTCTCAGGACACGTTATCCCCTAAGCATGCCAGTGTAAATAGTTCTCAGCTCACAGCAGATCATAAGTACGTACTTTTCAGATATAGGGCAAGTAGAGAGAGAGAGCACTTAACTAAAAACTCAGCCAATGGGATCAATTTCTAGAGACGTATTCTTTCCAAATTTGACCCTTGAAAAAAATTAGCAACTGGGCTTTAGTTCACTTTTTGTGTTTTGGAGACAGGGTTTCACTTTCTCTCAGGCTGGCTTCAAGCATGCAGAAATCCTCCTGCCTCAGCCTCCTCAGCCTCTGGCTGCTGGGATTACAGGCGGGTGCTACCATGACTGGCCTGGTAATTGGCTTAGTTCTATTTTATAGAAAATTATTTTATACATTTAAAATTGCGTGAATATACTTAAAACCATTTTTGTTCTGCTTTCTGCATGACAGCAAGCAAATTGTGCAACTTTGCACTACAATTTCCTCAGCAGGAAATCATTCCACTGGTTGACTACAATGGAGTAAAACGAGATATCCTTGAAGATTTTAATTCCTATAACTTTGTACTTTAAACCTCTAGCCATACAATACAAACAAACAAAACAAAGCCCTCTAGCCATACTACCGTTAACTCTGAGTTACGAGGATAAAGGTGGAGAAGCCCAGAGGCTGAGGGAACTTACCCTTCCATGGGGTGGAGACCTGGCCTCAGCCTGGCCCGAAACACGCATTGGTGCATCACATGCAGTTGTGAAAATAAAGATTAAAAAGTAGATCCAGTTGTCAGATGGTGTTCAGGCAAGATGTGAGCTTTGTATGAGGTGGTTCCAAAAGCAAATTATACCCTTAACATAAAATTCAGATAATTCAGAGAAGCAAAACCTGCATTAAAGTATGTGTATTTCCAGAAAACAAGATCATAAAGTGAACAGTGACACTAAGAATTCTTGGGGATACCTACGTCATTAGTAATTTTCCAGAGAACAAGTATTTTCATAAGAGATAGCCCCTAATGCAGTATTTCTCAAAAGTCTGCAAATATTCTCAGAACACAGGAAAAGAGGAATAAAAAAGAGGCCCCTTAACCCTCTGATTACAGCCACGAATCCACATAACAAGG